GGGGTTTTTTTTTTTTTCAAACCGACATCCCCAAATGTAAAGCAGACCATGGACACTGGATGCATAATGTATGTAAATCTGTAGCACACAAAAGTGAAAATGTCCTGATGTGAATAATTCAGGGAAAATGTCAGGGGAATATTGATAGATTTTGATTCTCTCTCTCTTTTTCTCTCTCTCTCTAGATATATATATATATATATATATATATATCTATCTATCTATCTATCTATCTCTCTCTCTCTCTCTCTCTCTCTCTCTCTCTCTCTCTCTCTCTCTCTCTCTCTCTCTATCTATCTATCTATCTATCTATCTATCTATCTATCTCTCTCTCTCTCTCTCTATCTATCTATCTATCTCTCTATCTATCACGTTGTCAGACAGCAGCAGGAGGAGTAAGAAGTGTTTTTTCACGGCACATAAACCCATCGGTTATTTAGTAATTAACAGTGCAGATAAAGCAGTAGACTGAATGTGTTCTGCTGTGACAGGCTGAACAGGGCTTATCTTAATATCGTAATGTTTAAAATCCACACCAATTATTCTTCACAGAGGCGTGAAATTGATTCCAAACATTTTCTTTTTCTGCTCCTCACACTGTTTGATCTCTGCTCCCCCGAGACGACCTTTGATGAAATTTAATTTTGAACAACGTCTCTTTATGCAGCTTTTTACATATCTCACCTACAGGAATCAAACTATCATGTCTGATGGAGTATAATCAAATGTTTACATTGCAAAAAAAAAAAATAATGTTTGCACTTGTATCACAGAGTCGGGAATAAAACTGACACAGTCAATGAAGATTTCTCATTGGATGTTTTGAAAGGTTTCTGTGTGAAAATGCTTAGTGAAAGTCAGTCAAATATCTCCTCCATCCGCTATGTGAGTTTTATTAAAGTTAAACAGCCGTGACAGTCAGACTGTGATGGAGACAGTAGAGACAGCAGGTGCAGACAGATGGTAGACCTGCATTAAGCCTCAGTATTTGGGGCTCTGGGAGATCAGAGCCACCTGGTGGAAGCTGTGAGTAAACATACAGGCTCACACTCTCTAAGTAAAGTGGAAACATCTCTAGATTGAATGAATTTACCTTAACTTCAATGGCTTTTTACTTGATGCAAGACATTTACAAGAAATATACTTAATGTTTTGACTTTGAGCAAAGCAAAGTAAACATGTAATTAAAAAGTTAAAATTTTGTTCGGAAAACTATTTGAAAAGGCAGGTTTGTCATTTATTTCAAGGTCAATACAATATAAAGATACACAAAACATCAGCTTCAAATATGAATGTACTTCCATTTGTCGGAATAACCAGGATTATAAGAAATCCAAATTGATGTCAGAAAATGACGGGTCATGATTTATGATTGGTTATATGCAGTTGTAGGGAAGTTGGGCCTTAAAGAACATTATTCCACAGCTGTGTTAAATAGTTGGTTCTGATTGGCCAATTACACAGAACAATCATCCGTGATTCCTCAATTGCTGACTGTGGTGTCCTCGTCCCCCTTAATGTCTGTCCAGACTGGCTAATTGCCTTGTTGGAGGCAGGAATTGTGTCAAAAACAACTTTTTAGGATGTGTTGTAATAATAATATGCTGGCAGCTTCCATTGCATCTAAATGTGGTTATTTAAATTTGGAATTTGGAAAAACATATTTTTGAGTCCTTAAAGAATAAATCTAAATAGATCCATACAACCGATTTTGCCACTCTGGAATTGAACATCTTTTAGATACTTTAATGTAAGGAGTTACAGTATGATTAATTGTGGTAGAGAGGGTAAATAAATAAAAATGTGTTTAAGTCAGTGCCTTAACTGGGTCCCCCCCCCGGCCAAAAAGTCTGGATAATCACTTGCATCTTATAAGCAGAATAATGTATAGTGAGCAAGTAGTTAAAGCAGAGGAACCACAACAGGTCGAGACCAAGCTGCAAACTTTGGTGTTGAAAAATGAAGCCAATGCAGAAATGCAAAAAAACGGCAGTGTCCATTTGAGGCTGGCTCCAAAAGCCCAGGAAGCTCCAGAATTGAACATGTTTGCAGGCCAATAGTTATCCTTAAATTTGTGTAATTGGGGGTTTGGCCAATTTGCCTGACAGGTGGGTGCATTGTAGCCATTTGCCAGGAGGCTTAAGGCCCGCCTAACTCAAACTCTACCTGTTTAGATTGATCCAAAGTTAAGTGGAGTTAGCATTTCCCATATAGCGACCATCATTGTTGGCTTCAAAATGCCTCTTCAGAAACCAGTGGGTGACGTCACTAAGGCTAAACATGCATGCTTTATACAGCCTATGGTTGAGACAAGACCACCCTCCTTCGGTGTCCTGCTCACCCTGCCAGAGTTCTGTTCACTGTGCATCATCCTTTACATAACACAACAAACCAAGTGACATCTTTAGGATTTAGGGGAAATTAAAATCAACCGTAAGCTCCCAACAGCCTCATTGAGAAACATTACAGTACCTGGAGTTAACTTTGGCTCAGGTTATACTCAAATTAAAATATGACTTTAATTTTACTGACCTTGTGAGGGTCAAAGGTCACCAACTAGCATGGGGAAGTTCCCTCAAGCACCATAAGCAATAAACAATCTTGGCAGGTAATTAATGACGCTCCGCTTCCTGTTGGGAGAATTTGACACAATCAAAAGATATCCTCAAATATTTGCTTGGATCACTATGAAAACACACACACGGATTACAATAAAGGGACTGATGGGCTTAATAATATTTTAGATGGGGGTGGGGGGGGCTATGACGAAAAATTGATATAAGTTTCAAGTGTTTCATTTTTACCACTTCAGCCCTTGAGAGCCTGCAGGAACATCAGAGCTCTCAGTGTAAAGTGTCTCACTTTTATAATCCTGATTGTACTTGAATGTAACTTCAACCTCAGGAGCACTGAGCACATACGTCCAAACTTTACAGGACAGCAGCTACAATTAGGACCATACCTCCATGAGGCTTACTTGAGTGCATGTCGTGTTCAGGTGGTCATTACTGGGCCCGGCTGTGTATTATCTGCCCATAAAACTGTCAGCAGCAGCAGTGTTTTTCTCCTTGAGGGGAATGCTGCGTGAGGAAGCTGCTGAAAAGTTGGTTATTGAAAATCACACTGCAGTCCTTGTAACTGAAATGTAATTCTAAAATATAACAGGTCAGCTTCAGGAGAGAAAATAGTACGGCTCATCACTTACATTTTCTTGATCAAAGGTTATAGAGAATACCTTGATTCATTACTAGAGGCTTAATTAGTGGTCATGTTGTTCAGGTGATTAACTAATGTCTAGTTTACACAGGGACAATAAATCTGGCTTGTTTCTGATGTTTTGACACATTTTATCCTCCTGTTCATACACCACTGTGCATGTCCAAAATAATAATGTTCTCATTTTTATGCATGTTTATGTATAACTTCTAGACTGTAGGCTGCATACTTCATTCAAAGTTGCCACACAAATATGGACACAAAATCTGAATTACCTTACATAGAATGGATTACACTGTTGTAACTTCAGGAAAGCAGTCATTTAGCCTTCAGGAATCAAATAGTCAATACAACGTGTTCATAGCTAACAGTTTTTAACCATGCGCAAAACTAGCAATGTTTTGTTACTGAGAATATTTGTCCGAAACTTTGTTCTAAAGGTGTACTTCGAGATTTAACAATGTTAATTTATTTCAACTCAACTTCAACTGTGTTTGTCCCAAAAGGGCGATTGGTTTTTGTGGCAAGGCATAACAGGACAGGACATAGTTATGTCAGCATGCTAAGACGCAGAGGGAAATGGAGAACATTCTCAAAGCTGAGGTCATATTAGCGTGCTAATAATAGCTATTAGCTCTAAATACTGCTTCACCTGGATGCAGTGTAGCTAAGCTGCTATCATGTCCGCTGTTATAGCCTATTTATTTGCTGGAGTTCTGCTGCTGCATAGATCTAAATTAATGGCTAGTTATTAGTATGGTTCTCTGATTTATCTTAATCAAAATTAAATAAAAATGTATTACAGTAGCATTAGGTGAGACCAGCTGCTGAGAAACATACTGTAGTGTCATGACAAAGGCTGGGGATTTTGTTGCATGACATCCACTCCAACTCTCCATCACCGGCCTATCACTGCATATTTATTCAAAAACCTACATTCATGCATTTATAATTCATAAGGGGCTTCAGTGCAATGTACTATCCTGCAAAAAAATCTCTTTGGTGATTAAGTCTGAATGTAAAATATGCAGCAATAAGCAGTTTTTATAATGTTGGAGCATGAACTGGTGTATTTGCAACATGCCATCTGGCACAATGAAACTCAAGTATGTGTTCATATGAGATGCGATATCTGGGGAATAATAATGCAGGAATACCGTGCGCATAAAATAAGCATGCTTTCTTTAGCGTAGGAGTTAATGTCAATAAAGTGTGGGTGTTTTGTTGTTATAAGAAAGTTTCATATTTGTTTATCTTGAGCTTCTGGACAGATGGATAAGTGTGCCAACGGTACTATTTTAGAAATAACATTTTCAGTGTTTTTCAAATCCTTTTTTATTTTTCATCCATAAAAACTAAACAGAAGAAGCTTAATGAGTTGTAGAGATACAGAAAAAAAATGAAAAAAACATTAAATACACTTTTGCTAACTCAAATGGAAACAGAGAATGTACAACAGTTATAAATTCTTGCCGATGACAAAAATTCAAACTACGCCTAAACTATCACACATCTATACATACGACAATTTTCTACAAACATACAAACATGAAGAGTTGAATCCACAAGTTTCACATAATGCTGCTATATGATACTAAGCCCCCTGGAATTGTTCCCCCATAATACAAAAAAAAGATTTATGGATTTTGTTTTTTCAACTGTATGATATTGTGGAAGGTTGTGGTCCATGAAATCCATTAAAGTTATGACTACAAAGTGAACTCCATCTCTGGCAGGTAGATCATCAAGTAGGTGTAGATGCTGTTATCAAGTTATTTTTAAATTTACTTGTGCTGGCTCATGAAATCTCTAAGGAAGTCTTCAAATCGTGGGACAGGGGCCTCCTTGGCGGGCTCATCAGCAGCCTTCTCCTCAACAGCGGCAGCTGCTGCAGGCTCATCAGCAGCTTCTGCAGGCTCAGCGCGTCGCAGGCGGCAGTTGTAGTCGAACTCAGGATCGCAGTCAGGGTCGGGCATGATTATGCCATCCTTGCTGGGCTTCGAGGCAAAAATGCCAGAGGGCGCAGCAAACTTTCCGCAGTTTGGGTCGAATGGATGGCAGGCGGGCTTGGCTGGAGCCTTGATGTCAGCCTTGGCCTCAGAGCCAGACTTCACTGGGGTGCAGTCTTTGTCATAGTGCACAAAGCAGTCGTGGCCATCCTTGGTCTTGCCGGGGACTCCAAGCTTGTAGCGGACCTGATTGATTGATTGATTGATTTGTGTGTTTGTTCAAGACAGATGCAATAAAAGATGGAAGATAGCAAGTGAAAGCATCATGCAACACCCATTTCATTTCACTACATCATTTAATAAACCATATGAAACGAAGAAAACATTAATAGAGCAATTCAACAGGCAAGATTACACTAGATTAGTCAAAATATTGAACTATGTAATCCAAGAAGCAGGACTTTTCAGACCTGGTGTTCGGGGATCTTCGGAGCAGGCTTGCGCAGGGCAGCGGCGGCTGCCAGTATGCAGTATGGGTCATAGCGAGGGTCGCAGGACAGAGGAGCAGCAGGAGGTGCAGGCTCGTGTTTGGGGGCATACTCCAGCACGGGCTTGGTGAGGCCAGACAGCTTGGTGGCGGTCAAGGGGTTGCAGTCGGCATCAAAGAGAGGGTTGCATTGTTGTTCTTTAGGAGCTTCCTCTCCAGCGAGGGGAGCTGGAGCAGCAACGTTGGTCACACACAGGGGATCAACTGCTGGGTCACAGCTTGGGTAGACCAAGTGGTAGAAACCGGTGGGGGCTTTTTGCACCAGGGATGGCATGCAGTAGGGGTTCTTTGGGTCACATTTGAGGGCGGCATAGGATGGGGCAGGGCCAGGGGCTGGGCGGTAACCATAAGCTGCCCTCAGGTGATACTGCAGACACTCTACATCTTCAGAATTGCAGATCCTCAGCAGCTCAGTCCTCTGCTCGGCACTCAAGAAGGGCTCCAGGACGGGGGCGTAGTAGTAGAAGCCGGTGGGGCTCTTCAGTGGCATGGGCAGCATGGGGGTGAGGATGGGGGCTGGGACCTTGGCTGGAGCTGGCTCAGGGGCGGCTGCCTTGGGAAGGAGGGGGAAGAGACAGTAGGGGTCGAGGTAAGGATTGCACATCCTGACAGAAGCAGACTTTATGGTCTCAGGCATCATCATGGCAGCCTTTGGCTTGCTGGTGGACTCGGCGATGCACTCTGGATCATCAGAGTCAGCACAGGTCTTGTAGATTTCACTGAGGTGCTTGAGGTAGTGGTTGAAGGTAGGGCCCTCCTCTGACCTGTGCTTGTTCTGCAAGAACGCCATGTACAGACGATCCAGATCCTCCAACTAAAATAAAGAAAGAGAAGGGCAAAGAATGAATAAATCTGCTCTAAATCCATATCATTTTCATGCCATAGAGAGCGCAAAATAAACTAAAAATAAAACTATGAAAATTTAAACAAAGCCCCTGATAGAGGAACAACACCAATCCTCCAAGGGGGGATGCATGTACTTTTTCAGCTCACTGTTTTATTACTCAAACCACACTGCTGACTCTGAAACTACAGAGCTCCCACTCTGCTGGAACATGACTTGCATGGCAGAATAACTCAGCGAAGAGGCTAATGGCTTATTAACACTTTTATATAATCATGGTAGGAGAAATAAAGTATTTATTGCTGTGAAAAAATAAGGAGTGTACACCAAAAAGAAGTTTTAATGTATCTGTTTGGGCAAAAGCTGTTGAGTGCTTCGATGATCAAAAAGGCCAGAGAAACTGTGATTGTTGTTTCAGGAAAAACAAGCCGTGGTTGAGAATCCCAACTGGGAGAGATTGAATAATTAATGTGAAATAAACTCCACTCACTCCCTCCTGGTTGTGGCTGTCCATGAAGTACTTGTACCATCCCCAGAAGTCCGGCAGGCGTTTAAACTGGGGCACAGGCAAGACGGGGAGGTTCCTTCTGTTACGAACAAGTTTGGTCATGCTCGCCATGGCCTGTTCTTTCACATCTTCAGACTCTGCATGCACTAACGAGAGAAGAGGTGGGAAAGTGAACATAATGAAGTGTGCAGGTTCTGTAATTTACACGCCACATGAAGAAAAAAGTCTCAGTTATGTAAGCGCACCTGGTTTTATTTACATGATGAAATAATTGTTGTTTTTTTATATTGGAATACTGTTTGGACCCTATGCTTTAATTCATTCATGTTACACTATCTTCTATGTTTGCATTGTGATATCTAAAGTATTAAACTCAAAAGTGTACTGTCCACCAACTCTGACCCAATTAAAATCTGTTTCAGTACAATATTTATTTTTCTTATCTACATTCATGCTGTAAAGTTGAGAGGAATAGTAATTTGCTAAATATGATGCTACCGCTGGTTAGCTTATAGCTTTGCATAAAACCTGAACACAATGGAGACATCTGTCTTTGCTCCATCTTAAAAAGAAAATCTCATCAATAATCATGCATAAGCTTTTCTGTGGAGAAACATACAATTACCGATGGAAAGAATGTCAATTAGCAGCATTATGGGATGCTAGCTTCATATTTAGTGCACAGAAATGTGAATGGTATCAATATTTTCATCAAGACAGAAAATAAGCTTCTTTCCAAAATGATGAATTTTTGTAAGCCCAATGTGTTGGGCCTATTTTTGTGTTTGTGTGTTTTTGACATGTGTTTGAATTTTTTAACCAAGATGGACAGTATGTTTCCTTATATCTGATTTGAATAGACAGAGAATGTCATACTGTTTGTCTCTAGTGTTATTTTATTTCAGTATGAAATATAAAGTAATAAAAAAATAATAAGCTCACAATCTCTAGCCTCAGTAGAGTTTGACAACAAGGTTTGAACACAAGAACATTTCTAGAAGTTCACCAGATTAATACTGATCAGATAAACTGGCTTATTGCTGGTCCACTAACTATCAGTTTAGAACATATTGTAAAAATGCCCAACACAGACTTGAAGATGTTAAAAATGTCTCTGTTTAAAGTAATTTTTTTAATTAATTAATGAAAAAAAGTTTTCTGTACAAATAAGAAAGAGAACCTGCCAATTGTTATTTTGGTTGAAGGACTTTCCATATTAATCTAAACTGCAGGGGTGCATTAAAGCATCACAATTCATGCTTGGCTGAAAAATAGAGTGATCTATTTTAAGTGATTATATCTGAGTTTTGAAGTCCATTTTCCAAATCAATTTTCTGTATCACAGACTTAAAAGCCAACAGGTCCCCCCCCCATGACACGTCTCAGGTCCTCACCTTCCTCCTCCTTGTGCTGCTCCACTGGAACGGCCCCCAGAAACTCTGTAAAACAGGAGCAAGAGCCACATTAGCAGCAGCAGGGACATTAGCTGACTAGGACCAGATGTTGAGCTTTCTCTTAACATGAGGGAAAACGCTGAGCTGCTAATAAGCCCCTGGGTGAAACACGGCAGGTGCTTGGGCTCTGGCGCCCCGGCACAGGCAGCATCCTGCAGCGTAAACACCCCCACTCTCTTCCTGCAGACCCCCACCCAGAACTTTGCAGGCTTAGTTAGGCTTTGAACAAGACTGGTGGAGCTTGTGCAAAAAAAACTGGGGGCCTATTTTACCTGTAAAACTACAAAGAAAGGGCCCTCACACAAACCAATTACCCCTGCACTGTAAATGTGGAAGGTGGGAGGGAGGGGACATGCCTATGTGCATCCCTGTCTCCACATGTGGAGTGTCTTCTTGCTCTACCAGGGGGTTTTCTTCAGAAGTTTACAACTTTAAGGGGGGAAAAACAGTCAAGTCAGCTGATTATGGCAGAAACTTCCTGACCTTTTCATTTATTAATGTGGAAAGTCTCCCAGAGGTGCAGTGATGGATGTCTTTTTATGACTCTGAAAGGATTTTGTCGTACTAACAAGCTGCCATGATGAGTTAAAGAGATGAGAGTAAGGGCGTGTTTAGAATCTGACCCATGGATAAATCGAATGCTAAACAGTATCTTAGATATACTAACGCCCCCACTCTCCCAGTACATTTGACTAAAACCAGTGAACAAAAAGACCTTTGATGTCCTATTAGAGTAAAGTTTAGAAGTATTCACATCATTATAAGAACTATTAGTAAAGTATTTGAGCTGCAAACAAACAACTCTTATCATTGGTATATACAGTATATTGTTTTAGTTTTGAAGGGTAATTAAGGTACACGTATCCTAAAGGTGTATTCAAGGAAATTAACTTAGTTTCATTCCACTATCAATCATCTTTCTGTCACTGAGGTGATTTTTCCAACTTTTACTCTGCTTTTCATTATAAAATACTGGCTACTTTAATTTCCTCAGGCTTGTAAAAAATCCGTCAAATGAAAAATTGGGAGAAGGAGACATGATGCTTTGAACTTTTGAAATAAGATGCATATCCTATGATGAGTGATTTCACTGAGATATGGATTCATAATGTCTCAGGTGGAAGATTTCAAATTGTCCACATCGTGTTTTTCAAAATTGTTTTACAGCCATAAAAATAATAATTTAGTGCGAAACTGGTAATGTAAATGATTTTTCTTTTTATGCCCTTGAGTCATTTTACCAATTTCACACCATCCCATCTGATCACATTGGAAGACCAGCTTTAAGACAGAACTGCAATCCTCTCTTTCAGTATTGCTTTTATATTTCTGAAAGGTTTCATTTCATGTAAAGAAAAAAAAGTCCCATTTAATTTCCTGAACAACCTCACTATCTTCAATACATCTGAAGAGGAAAAATCACATTACGTAAGAGAAAGCTCCAGACGCTCTGCCAACTGATTGTTATGAAGTCAAAAACACATTTAAATCAGTTTAAATACTTAGATAAGGTCTTACCTGGTAATAAAACAATAGCTAACAGGAGTCCTGTGTGGATCAGAGAAAATGATGGTCGTCCAAAACGGGCCATTTTGAGTTTAATGTGCTTCCTGAAGAAAAAGACAGAAACAATATTCATTGGAAAATGTATTAGAGGATGGATTACACAGTATGAACTTCTGGCATTATACTATCTTCTAACAAGAATGCGGCTAGGCTGGATTTATTCATGCTTCTTCTTGTTCTTTTTTGGAGAGTTTTTCAGCAAACTGTTAGATATAAAACCAAGAAGACAATGCATTGAAAGAGCTCCCCTTTAACTGGCTGGAGCTAACAGGAAGGATTGGGGACATGCTGCAGTAGAGCTTTTCAGGGATTACGAAGAAAAAGAAGTCTTTAGTTATCAAAATATACTGTACTGGTCTATGAAAAAGGCAAAATGTTATTCTCCATTACTGCATGAATGGCTGCTGAATTCCAGCCACTGTGCTCAAAGGAGAGATTGTCCTCTTCAGTTTCACACTTGTGAATAAATCTGAGGTCTTTATCACTTTTCATGCTGACACACCAAAGTTGCAGGCCGTTTCTCTGGCTTTCTGAACATTGTATCAACTGAACTACATGCAGCATGCACATTTGGTCCTTACCTGCAAAGGTGCTGAAGTCGTGGCCTCCTGTGATCAGGTGAGGCTCTCTGCTTCTCAGGACGAGGGGGGCTCACTGCAGTGTGGTTGTTGGAGCTGTCTAAACGCTCTACCTCTCTGCTCCCCTGTATGGGATGGCCGGGCAGGGGAACATTTTTAAGGAGCTCTCTTGATCATTAAAAACAAAAATGCATGTCATACGGCTCCGGCGTGCTGGTAGGCGCTCCAGGATTGGCTCCAGCACTGCCATCCGTCCAACCAATGGGGGTCCTGTAATTAGTGGAGGTGAGCAGCACGACTGCTTTCTGTGGAGAAACATTAACAAGGTGCCACTTAGTGCCGGGTTTCTTTCCTCACAGGTTTGGAATTTAGGGTCAACATGTAAAGTGACAGTATGTATCAGCCACTAGTTGATTTTGAGATTTAAAATTTACATAAATGACTCAGTGGGCGTAAACCATAAAACTGTAAACTGTTAAATTCTGTCAGCTCGAGGCCTCTGTTACAGGAGAGCAGATTTATATTGAACTGCCTGCAGCTATTGCAGAGGTGGCACTCATAAAGCATTCAGTGGAAACTATGGCAAGAGAGAGTCCTCATGTTCCTATACTTTACCGATGATAAAGATGCATAAACAGGAATCTACTAGTGAATAAGAAGCCGTAAATAACAACATTATACTATACTTCTGAAGAAATCAGTCGTAAAATAAACCTTCATTTTGTTTTATCTCTGTGCTCCATCTCCATAAGAACCTTCTCTCTGCAAAGAATTAAAAGCGATTTCTGAAATAATTCCTGTGTTGCATCAGTATATTGACAAATGTATGAGCAATATTGTCCAGGATGACAGGAAAGTGACTCCTCTCATTTCAGTGCATTGAAGCAGGAGTTACACCAGCCTCTTTAGATAACATTTCCAAACTTAGTGTCGTGCTAAAAGTCTCCAGCCATTTGTCTTTTTTCTAAATAAAGTTACTCAGCTGATATTTAATAGAAGCTAAACCTACATTTATACCAAAAACACCAGGATTATTCTATGTGTAAACTTGGCAATTAACCTATTGCTGAGTTAATACAAAGGGTAAGATGATGTTAGAAGAGAAACATATGATGTATATATTGTCATTTGATCTCTCTGAATGGAGAAGTGTTTGTTTTTTCTTTACTAACCATCAAATCATCCTTAAGACAAACAAAACATGGTCATAGGTTTAAAACCATGTCAGGGACAAAACAAGCATTTTGTTTTTCACTGCTTACCTTCTTTCATGTTTTCTCTCCAACAACATGAAAAAAACTGGAGTCATGAGGAGAAGTAGGTTTCATGCAGCACACAGCACTAATGAGGCTGCTGCTGTAGGTGAGAGGAGCCATTAGGACCAACACGCCAACAACCCTGTTTCTTTGGTTCATGTTCCCGATGCTTACAATGTGCCACGTAGCTCGTAGAGCATCAAGTTAATGCCAGTGGAATATACAGTGTGTATAGGAGATATGGAAACTAGCTAACATTACCTGAAAGCAGTCAAACAGAGCAGGCATTCGTGAAAAGTTTATCTTGTTTAGAAAAGATCCACCGAACAGATTAATTAATTTACATAAACTGTACAACCTTCACACTTATCCCAACAGATGAACTCAGGACTCCTCATGTAGACATCATCATTTTGATCCAAATGAGTTCTACCGAATGTTTTTTAAAGTCCCCATGAAATGAAAAATAATTTTATGAGTTTTTAATCCAGCTTTCCTGTTTTGAATGTTAAATTATCTGCAAATTCTATTTCAATAAAGTATGATCTGAGTATTTTTACATCAAAATAACTGTAATTTATCTTCCTGTAAAATGTTAAAAAATGTCTGCACTCAGGGTTTACTACTTTTTGACCAATTCAAAAGCAAATTCATCCCAACGTTATGTTCTGTTTCATGGGGACTTTATCGCTCTTTTCTCAAGCTCAATCGACTTGTTGAAACGTTACAATAATTATTAATATTATAAACCAACTGTGTTTAGTTTGGTCCAAGTTTCATATGTAGCCTATACGAGCAGAAGCTAGCATGTTTCAGCTAGGCCTATTTATCACTAATATTTAGCTAAAATCAGCGTCTAACCTTTCGCTACCTTTTCAATGATGTATGCTGACATTTTAAATCATTATTTAAAATTATATAACATAACAGTAGAAGAACCTGTTGCCAACTTACTTGACCATTTTTCATTTGTTTCTAATTAACAATGCTTTTTGAAGTATTAGCTACAATTTGATTTCATCCTATTCAAAAACTACTTTAGCTAGCTCTTTGAAACATACATCCATTACTTTAAGGCTTTTTCAAACAACCTGTATATAACTTTAAAATATTATTTAACATTTATCCAGAAGTTTTGGTTCTTAAATAATCATTTCCAAACTTTGAATTTACTGTTAGTATTTATACCATTTGTCCCTGACTGTACTGTTGGTATTTGTTCTCTTATTACACTTATCTAATATTTTGTAATGTCTATTCATACATTTAGCGAACAATTTGTCAACTTAAGCTATCGTAAACAATTATTTGTCACATTTATAGCTAATCTTTATACTTACCTTACGTTAAGGTAATAAGTTGTTCATACATTATCTTCACTATTTCTGTGGGCGGCTGTGGCTCAGTTGGTAGAGTCGTCTCCTCTCAACCAGACGTTCAAGGGTTCGATCCCCAGCTTAGCAACATGTCCGATGTATCCTTGGGCAAGACACTTAACCCCACATTGCTCCCGCTGCTTCGTTGGCGGTGTATGAATGGATTAGTGTTGTACTTACTCTCTGATGTACGTCACTTTGGATGAAAGAGACTGCTAAGTGAATGTAATGATCAATTGAATAAACTGTATTTTCTAATTATTTAAGTTGTGGATTTTCTTCTATACTTAACAAACTGTGGGAGCCTATTGCTAGTAGTTATGCTTTTATTTAAGAAACAGATTCCAGCTGACATTTCTGTGGTTACATTTTTTTGATGTCATTTTATGTCGTAAGAAGCTTTTATACTTTGTCTTGGCCACCTGAAGAACAAGTACCATGTTTAGGTCTCACTGGAGTAGAAGCTAGAGCAAGCCATCAATATAGATTTATTTGATTTCTATGGTAATATGAAGATAAAAACATGAAGTACAATCATCTTCCAATACACTGTGTTGTATTCAACGCTCAGTACAGTTTGTCCTCTCAGACTTCCCTTTCTTGAATGACTTATGATGACTGAGACTTGCCATGTCTCTGCAATTTACACATTTCAGGATAACCGGTGCTGTCACAGAAGGAGACAAATGGTTATTTTCTTCAGTTTAACATAGCCAGCTATCATGGAGAGATGTCGGTCTCTTTATGTGTATGGAAAATTCACAGCAATTTACCCTTGATTTGGGCTGAGAACCCATAAAGCTTGTCATGCTTCTTCTGAAAGAAAAGCTCATTAAATGCACAGACCCTTGTAAAAATGATGGTGCCTGTCAAAGGCTTTTATGTAAGCACTTCAGCTGTGCTTTTTATAGTGGAAGGGAAGGGAGACTCAACGAGTCTGAGATCTTCATGACCCCTAACCAATCCTGAGTACGTTGGCTACATGCATATTTTTTGAAGTAAACATAAGTAGTTCCATGGGGGAAAAATGTGACATGTATTGTTTGTATTACGGAATGTGCATTCCTCCATGAAAAAAATATTATTTTGATGATTCTGTCAAATGTTCAAGCTTCATGATCAACAACATGTAACACATTCTTCACATTCTTCGACATTTCAGTCAGCATCAACTGTTCTCTGGTTGACGTGTTTAGTAGTTAATATTTTAATGCTAGCTCCCTACAATAAGAAAGAAGACAGGGTTCCTTTAGCTGTAAGGAACAGTAAAGTCTCTAGATTGTCCATGCAAGTCACCCAAAAATTGAGGTTCTTGTTCAATAATTTTCTTAAGTTGTAACATATCAGGGCTTCAGATAGGCTATTGGTTATGTTGCATGCCCCTTGGACTTTACAGAGGCTATAGTCCTCATTGCAGCGGATGTGGGTTTGAATCCGTCCATGGATTTGGTGCATGTCAACCACCACTCTTTCAAGTTGTTACATAATTCACATTTTACTAAGAGCCACGGACAGTTTCAAAGATCTGTGGTCGGATTTAAACCAACGGACATCTGTGGGTCAGTTGAAGAGTCAGTCGTCTCTCAAGCGGAAGGTCGGGGGTTTGATCCCCAGCCTCTACAGCTACATGTCTTATGTGACACTTTTAATAGCAGCCTCTACCATCAGAGTGTGAATGTGTAGGTGTTACCTGCGGTGTAAAAGCACTTTGAGAAGTCAGAAGACTAGAAAAGCTCTATGCAAACTCAAGTCCATTTCCCATTTACCAAAGAGCATTATTTCCCTTTATTCATGAAAACCATGCCGGGAGAGGCTAATCATAATTTTCTAAAGCGTACTTAATTGATGAGTTACTGATATCGTTTTTTGTAAATTGGCCCAAATGAGCCGTTGGTTCATTTTGAAATTCCCAATCAGAACCCTTTATTTGTGTGTTTACTGCTGGTTTATGCTCTACTACGGGGAGCTTTGAGTGTTATTAACATTTTTGTTTTGGAGACAACTGTTGTAAATGTCTGTGCTGACCACACAGTTCTCTGTTTTGCTGATTCTGTACAGAGCTTTTAAAACTGTGAAGTCTGCATTTTGTGCGCTTAAGAAGCCTCTTATCTGTCTTCAGCATGTGCTGAATAGTAATAAATCAAAAATATGCTGTTGCCCAAAAATGAAAATATTATTGACCCTCAGATCAGCATGGAAACTGTTCAGTCTCAGACATTAAAGAAAGTCTTCTTTGACGGTGGTGATACAATCTACAGACATACAACAGTCTATGTGCTGTTTACTTTCAGACTGACGGCTGCAGACGCCAACAAACTCATTTAATTAACAAAAACAGGCCCTTCTGGCTTTTTCAGAGAAGCTGTACATATTTGTTAATAGAGTCTGTCTCTAAAGGAACTTTATCTTGGTATAAATTATGATTCATTCTATTTACGGTGGTAATATTAGAAGTGATAAAATCCTAATTTCTGATCAACTGTGTGCTGCTTTCGTTTAGATTTATCACCATGCTTCATCGTGTCAAAGAAAAGGAAACCTGGAAGAGTTGTGCACAAACTAGAACTCTCAATCCAAAAACCCATCCATCACCATGACACACGTGTGCATGTACATGCATTCACTGACTGGTCAATAAAATAAATCACTCTGCTACTACCTTTGTGCAATTCGCTATTGAGAAATCTGCTTATGTCTCCAACCCTAACAGAACCTAGCTTCTATATATCATATCTGACTGTTATATCTATAAAGTAAATAAATAACTAAAAATGTAAATGAAGACATTATCCAGCTTCATAAATTCAAAATACTATTTATACATTTTTAAACAGTGTCACAAATAGAATATATCACAAAAATACAACAATGGATGCATTACTTCTGTACACATACAAACACATTATGACATTACATAACCCACTGCAGAATGTAAGTCTAACACATACTGCCATTCGAATAGTTTAAGCCATTGTAACAAGACCATTTATCATATGCCACCTGCAGCATGCATGGCGACAGCAATAGGAGCCTCTGCCCATCATAGGTGTAATTATACTTCTAACAGGTGTTCTCCTCCACTCTGAAACCTGCAATCCAGTTCAGAAACAGTCTGAGACATGAGCACGATACAAGCTCATAATTTAAACATACCATATATGAAGGAATCCTTGGGATCTTGAGAATTTCACAACATCTGGAGCCTGTGTCGACTTTTTAAGGATGTTTTAAAAAGCCTCAAACTAGAACGACTATGAAAGGAAATTGTATGTCATTAGACAGAAAATGGGTGGTTTGCTTTCCACACACAAAAAAAAGGTTGAGGAAAAAATAAAAGGTTCAGAGTGGTGCGAATATCATCCATCTTTACTGTGATGACATTTTAGCCTCAAGTCACTGGATGTCGTCATCATCAAACAAATCCTCATAATCTGTGGAAGGAAAACCAAAAACACAATTATTACACTACATTACATAACAGCTGGCTGTATTACAAATGTTTCTGCAGGCCAGGCCTGTTCTCATAAAGCAGTGTTATAGGACAGTGGGTCAAAGGAGTGCAGGGTGATAAAAGTCAAAGGATCTGGGAATATTTGCGCTAAGGAGTCTGCTGAGTGGCCTTCCTGTGGGTCTGACAGTTTGTGAGGTCAGAGCTCAACAGGAGAATTGGATGAAAATGCATCCCTGTTCCTGCAGGCGGACTGCAGACGACACAGCTAGGCAGGAAATAAGATCTATATGATAAGTAAATGTTTGACAACTCAGAAGTAATGACATGTTTTCTGACACGTAGCGTTTTGTAGAATATGAATATTTGTTTGCCACCAGAGTCTGTTATCCACAAACCCTCCCTCCTCATGCAGACTGAGACCAGACAGACTCTTGTCTGTGTCATCACGCAAGGTGTCATCACGCACACAAAACACAGAAATCAGACAGCACATGACAGAAAAACTATATTTTGTCCCAAATTAAAGCCTTGAAAAAAAAAAAAGTACAATGGAAGACAAGCATGTCATGTGACAAAATTCCCTCCTTCACTCTGTGTGTCTGCTGGTCATATAGACAAGAATATCAATAAAAGTCAGCACAAACACATTGTAAATCTTTTCCCAAAACCCTCCTCATTGTTATTGTGCTGAAACAAATAATGGCTGACCTACGCTGAATGTTTAAAGGAAGAATGTGCAACTTTTTGATTCAGTCGACGGAGCCGGACAAACCCGATAAAAACTAGGACGACGACCGCTCACCGACGGTCCAACTAGGACCGACGGTCCAACTAGGACCGACGGCCGACGATCTCCTTGGTGTGTCAGGGCCTTAAAACCAAAAAGAACTTTACCTCACATTAGTGATTAATTAGTGAAGGGGTTTTCCTCAGAGCTACTGCAGCCTGAATATTCCCCACATGTGGGGAGTGACTTAGCACAAACTGTCACTGCAGCTTTACTTTCGTGACTGTAACAGAAATGAGCCAGTGTGACACTGATTGTTTAAATTAATGAACGTTTAAAATCCCTTTACAAATGTAGGCCAGGGTGATCGAGAGCTGCTTCCAATACGCCTGAAGACAGTGAAAAGGCACGCATCTCTGTTTGAAAGGGAATAAAGCGTGACGCTCCAGAGCTCCAGCTGAAAAGTCTGCGTGGAATCTGTGTCACACATGGCGAGAAGTTGTGGCTGTTTGATGTAGCTGTGCCTCGGGACAGAGATCACACTACATTATAAAACACAGTTAGTAAAAAAGGCTGGGGGGAGGGGGGAGGGGGGGTACAAGGAATGTTTGAGGGCCAGTAAAGAGATTTCCTGCTGTGGAACCAGCAGCGCTCTGATGCCCAGGGGTGAAAAAACATCATGGGCTAATAGATTCAATCTGCCCCTGAGTGACAACCTCCTCACTGAAGATGTCTGACTTCTCCTGTGTTCACTTCAGATCACCTGAGAAACTGCATTCATGCGCCTATTTCTATTATTCTGTAAGAGGATTAGAACAGCCAAGACGTTTCGTAAGACTGTTTAGAGATGAAGGATAAATTGACAACGTCCAAAAAATCATTTCTAAATTCAGATCCACATGATGTAGTACCAAATTCACTGATGACATCAAACTAATCAACACGATAAAAACAAATTCTCAACAAATAACCTCAGCTGCCTTTTTTTTATGTTGTATAAGGGATTTGTATTTGTTTCAGAAACACTCATCACCTGCAACTAATTTCCACCTGAATAAAAGTTGGACTCCATGGCAACCTAAAGTCCAAAATGTAAAAGTGCTAATTTTGCAGAAAACTAAAAACTTCCAAGAGGACTTCTGGTATCTAGAACTTATATGAAACAACTCCTGGTAACACCAACTCTGCTGCTTATTTATCTAGAGGAAGTCGAAAAAATGCAAGTACCAACAGAGTAGGCATCAGTGAGACACAGGGTGAGTAAGTGTTTCATGTTGGCTTTGGTGGTGAAACACTAGATATACAAGTCGGCAAAAACTGATCTCGAGGTACTTCCTCAATCATCGCCAAGTGTGTCACCTCATTTTCTCAAGAACTTACATGAAGCATTATCAGCAGGGTGAAAGTGCGGACTTAACTTTCAATAGATGGCTCAATAGATTTATTTTGAGACTATGATCAAATAAAATTACATCTAAGAAGTCTTCTGCCACAGTTGACTGAAATACATTTTCAGCTTCTGTACTGTAAACTTTTTACAAACCTGTCTGCATTGTTTCATGTAAATTGTAAATACTTAGAGACTTGTTTAAATATGTGCATATACTGAAATGTCTAACAGCCCTAGAAAGAAAAGGTTATTTTTTCTTTAGACGAGGGGTTCTGATCCGTGGATTTAAACGGTAATGCACGGCTTGTTTACCATTGAAGAAGTCTGCATGAACTGCCTTTTCATTGGCAGCCAGGTCCATCAGCAGTCCTGTGCTTCCCCCAGCCTGCCAAAGGACAGACATGCAGCTCAGAGGCACAAATATGAGGCACAAATATGACCCACAATCCCAGCAGAAGCCCCCCCCTGTACACTTAGAGACATGTGTCATTATGATCGTTTGTATGTCAGACTAATGTTGCTACAGTTCAATGCCAATAGACATTAACTGTGTTATCTACATGCCACTGACTTTACATAGGTGAGTTATAAGTGGAATCAAAATGTTCTTTAGTATAGTGAGCAAAATGTGCTCAACTAGGCAACATTAACTCAAATAGTTCTATAATGAAGCGCTTACATAAATGTACTCATGCAAAAGTCAGATTGAACAAGTGATCTGATTGGACAAGAGGCATTCAATGGAAAACACCTTCACTTTTCACCGTATCCCTCCGCCTGACAGGTGTGCTGGAGACATACAATTTACATTGCGACAAACACAGCTGTTCTTTAAAACATCACCGTGTGGTGTTACTCAGTAACATTTCAACACTGCAGACAAATAAACCTAATTCTAGCAAATTAACCATTATAAATTATAATCGACTGCAGGCCTACGTCGTGATCGTTAACATTTACGATGACACTGTCTCTCAGATGATCTTAAATAGCAAACGCACCTGGTAACCTTGATGATCACGTAGCCTATCCAAATAAACCAACGTGTTCGCCAGCTAAAAAAAAAAAAAAGTTCACAAACCTCGTCCAGATCCATGTACGGCCCGGCTCCCTCCGGAAACATCTCGTCCACTGCTGGTTTCATGGCGCTCGAGTTGGACGGATCCTTCAGTGGCATGGATAACCCAAAACACCGGCGTCTACTCTTCAGATTCTCATCAAATGCTCTACTACAAACTCAGGCTAATGCAGCGCCACATGAAAATAAATCCGACCAGGGAGTGAAATCAACACACAAAAGGTTCCGCAGCATGTTTTGAGGTAAGCTTTCATGTGAATATTCTGCCTTAAAAAACACACACACACAAATTAAGACAGTATGGAAAAAGTACTGATTGTATAGTAGTGTGTAGATATTTCAATGTGTTCTTAGGTTTAGCTCTGCGTCTTACTGAATGTATTTCTCTTTAACACAGTCATCATGTTCTATTAAGGTGTCAATGTCTTAATAGTTTCAAAAGCCTGAATTTCATAGAGGTTCATTTAAAAAGTTTTAAAGAGGAAGTGAACACCTTTCATCCGCGGATGTTTAAAATCTGTTTTTGTTGTGACTCTGAATTGCAAACTCATGACCAATATGAATCACATGAAGTAAGTTTCACAAACCTTTATTGTCTTTTATTAGATTCCTTGTGTCTGCAGTTTACAGTGTTTATATCCCATTGTTTTTATAAATAGAATATGCTTCACATTTGATTCTTCAATTTCAAACTGCAATAGGAACAGGAATGTATTATGACCAAAAATACATATGGATGTTTAAATTTGTGTAAAACATTGCCCCCAGATAAAATGAAACACCGTTGATGATATGTTAACAAACAATGAGGATGCTACACATCCTCTAATTCCATGATGTTCTGTAATGACATGCTTTTACCTTCAGCTGTAAACAAATAATCTTATGAAGGCAGAAAGACTCCAGATCTAAATAAACTGAGAAACAGAGTTGGGTATACCCTCCTGGTCATGATCAGCATAAGCATTAGTAAAAGATCAAACAAAAGTGGAACAGCTGTTGAAGCATCTTTTCTGTCTGTCATGAACAGCACCATCTTGTGACATTTTCTAGAGAGTTTTGTCACAGCCTTGCTGCCTGCTGGCCACCATCCTGCTCACATCAATGTTGTTTTTTGCAAAGGTCTCCCTTGCTTTCTCAACAGTGGAGTCGGGCAGGGATCGTGTTCGGCCCAGGATCCAGGCGAAGTCTACGTGGAAGAGTCTCAGGATGTCCGTGCAGGAGTAGACCAGGGCTGAGTTCACATAGTCAGTGGACAGGATCCAGTAAGGGGAGTATGGCAGCACTGTGCAACAACAAAATCAGATTACCTACAATGAACACAACTAAAGGTGCAGTTTTTCTGTATCAAATGTCTCACTCACCATAGGAATAACTTATTCCCAGCTTGGCCGGATTCTTAATATCCTCGATGACACCGATCCCTTCGATTTTCCTCAGCTCTCCTTTTCTGTTTCCGGACAGTCACATTTCATGTTGCATTTAGGAAAATACAAAACCAAGCGAGCATCACCTCATGACTCCACATTTGCACAAAGAAATTGCAGATAGGACTCACAGTATCTCCGAGCTGACCACTCGGATGGAGCTGTCCGTTGTCAAAGTGAAATTGGTTTCGATGCACCGTCCCTTCTCAAACTGGGCCGGCAGCTTGGCAATTTCAAACCATCTCCCCATGAACTGAGAGGGCAGAAACACGCAGGAGAGTTCAAAGACAATCGAGAACATTGTCAGTAGAGAGTATGAATAAATCTACATGCTTTAGTGTCGTCAGTAAAATGTGCAGCAGCTCTCTTATCATACCTAGTCTCTACCAGGAAACTAAGTTAGTACATCTAATTGAGTAGAATTTGGTTAATTAAATATTTATATTTTATCTAACAGCTTTATAATTTTATTTGTGCCCACTAGTATTATTATGACTTAATTTGACTTCATCTTGACCAACTTCCACAGTGAAATGTCACTCATATATAAAGATGATGCAGTAGGGATAATCCACTAATATTTATTTATAAGCAAAACCAAACTATAATGTAAATGTATGCAGTTAAAGGCCCTTTAAAAATGTACATACCTAGCAGACATTATTGTGCCCAAAGGGGGATTTTATAAAATTCATAATGAAGATTCACATTTCAGTTAAATTATCATTTTCCTCATACACATAAAATAAATATTTATGTAAGACTCCTTGTATAAACAACCCTTCTAAAAGCAAGACACAACTATTTCAAATGTACTCCACAATCCAATAACAATTTAATAATAATAATAAAATGAAAGGAGCAGCACAGTCATTCACTGAAGGAGCTCAGTGCAGTGATGTAGTTCAGTGTGATGTATTGATTACATAAACAAATACAAATATCTACTAATAACTTCATTATAAGTTCTTTATAATGATTAATGTCTATTTGTAATGGATAAGCAAGTACACCTTATAAAGTAATTTTTTGCCACATTTAAAAAAATGATCTTGTTAAAGGACAAACATTAGAAATGTGTAACAAGTCTGAAGTCTGACTTTTAGCCCCCCAGAAGGATTAAAGGCTGTCCAACACAGCATATCATCCATACACTATCATGCCACCATACTTTTTTTTCTACCAGTTTTTGACCTATTTTGAACAGACTGGGTTGTACCTGTTTAAGGTTGAATGTCGGTTGAACTGTTGGTTCTGGACACGGCCCCCAGTGAGGCACCTGAGCCTCGATGAACGGAAGGAACAACACCGAAACAAGAACGACAGATAACCTCATGGTGGAGTCGGACCCTTGGTACCTGGAGAAGTTTATCAGCAGGAAAAAAAAGAGTTTAACAAATCCCCTCTAAATACAAGACCACAATGTGAATTTAGGCAATAATAGCATTTGTTATCCAAAAAGGATCATATAACAATAATTCAATATACGTTTTCGTACCTCTGCTTCCAGGAGATTCAGATATATGTTCTCTACCTCGGGTGAATTCTTGTATTTGAATCCGAGACGTTGCTCTCAGCGAGGTCTTCCAGCTTTGTGACAATGTGTCATCAATGGGCGTCTTTGTGTAGAGGCAGCTTTATTTCAGACATGAAGTAAACTATTAGTAAAAGTGGAGTCATGGGGTTACATACCAGTGGAAATGTTATAAAACAATCTGGCTGTTTTTCTGCCTAAAATGGACAGCCATGTGTGACCCTCATTCACCTAAAGACACACAAGGTCTGCACACAACAGAGCAGAAAGACATTTTAATGTTGATAAAAATAGATCCCATTTTTTTATCAAACCTAAAAATGTCTCACTACTCAAGTAGCATTCGAAAGTGTAATCATTGTTATGTCCTCTGTTGTTACTGTGCAGGACATCCACTACCATCCCTGTTATGTTTAGGGGTTTAAGGGTAAAATTCACTTAATTCAATTATATTTTGTCACATTCACTTCACAGTATCTCAGGACACATGTAGCAGGGCAGCTTGCTTTTAGATCTGCCACAGTAACTTAATAATGTTTAATCTATTACATTCATTACTATTGCCATTATTTATAAATAGGGTTGAGATCATTAAAAGGAAAAACAGAACAATTTCTCCATTTTCTGAAACACCAGACAGTTTACTGTTAATAATCACCAATGAATACAATCATTAGTTGAAGCTCTACAGTACAAGCTTCAGTGAAATGTCTCAACTATTATTGGATGGATCACCACAGCATTTGATTCAGACATCATGTTCCCCCAGGATAAACTGTAAGAGCTTTGGTGAGCCTTGACTTTTCCATCTAACAGCATCATCTTTGACATCTAAGGCTGTGAATTATTTTGAATATTAAGTAGGTAATCAGGTGTGAAAGCCAGATATTTGACTCAGAGGTCAGGTACACGTTCAGGGTTAGTGTTGGTTAAAAAGTGGCAGCCAGTTAGAAAGGCCAGGCTATCCTTGACGGGATAATACAGGGGATGATGATGGAGAGTGGAAACACGGGAGGCAGTTGGCGGGGAAGGTCAGACGATGAGGACTGGCAGGAGAGGGAGCCGGGGACCTGCAGGTCAGGAGGGAGCGGCTGGATCTGACATGACAAGAGAGTTAGTATGTGGCAGAGAAAAACTAAGAAGACAAGTGTTGCACAGCAATGGTGTCACATGTCATTAATGCTTTCAAACACAAAGAGCCATGATTCCTAGCCTTTCTGTCAGTGTGCAGTGAGAAGAATCACTGCTTTCTGTTCTATGTTGTTTTTCAGCCAGCCTGACAGGTGACTCTCATCCTGTCAGTCATTACACTGCTGGAAACAGAGGACTCAAGCGACGCCCACTCGAAACAGGCCTGCAAAAAGTGTGTGCAGGAGCATCTTTTTCACACAAGTCTTTAGCATGAATCAATTTATGAGCTGCAGATGTCTGGAGTGACAGACGCTGTATGAACTGATAAAAACATCTATATCAGGTGTGATGGGTGTGAAGTGAACTGTGTAACAGAATATGTTTATAAAGCATTTTATATTTATACTTTCAGTGTCTATTTTTACAGGAAAAAAAAGATCTGATTCATAAAGATTTAAGAACTTAAAAATATATCACACCCCACCAGAAGATGAATCAAAGCTAAAACCATGCCAGCAGCTCAGTTAGGTACCACTTAGGCCACACATACGGTTGATAAAGTGTGTTAGCACGTTTGCTTATTAACTGTAATACAATCAGTATGCACTGACTGTCTTTAGATTACAAATTAGTTGTTTTTTTATAAAATCTCATCACCTTTACAAAACAATCTGATCTCTCTTTGAGCCTAAACAAATACATAATATTGCAATAAAAACATACATTTAAAAAAGCAGCCTTACATATATTTAAATGTGTTAATCAATTATACATCAGCTAAACATTCACCACTGAATCAACACATTTAAATAAGTCGTTCCTCTCCACCACTGAGAAATGACACAGGTGGTTTGCTTCTTCCGCGAGCAGGCATTGCAACATTTAGCTTCCAGGAAAATAAAACATTGAGCGGAGATGTTGCACTGTTTGTTAACTAAATCATCAGGGTAGACATTAACAACACATGATAAAGGCTTTAAGGGTCACCTTCTTACCAATCGACAATTTTCTATTCATCTCTATCAACAGATATCTATTACTGAGTACATGGCTGTTGCTAGTCGGACTTAAAGCGTTGACAGAAAAATCTGCAGGCTACACTGGAGCCCCCTGAAGCCTCTGCTTGAGACCCTTGGGGTAATTCGTCATCATCATGATGGGTTACAACATTTATAAGACCTCAAATGTCAGCCTCATGATGGCACTGGAGAAAAAAGTCAGAAGATCAACAAGGTCATTCGAATTTGTCCTCCAGGGGTCTTGAATATATATATGCTTGAAAGCAATGCAATAATAGTAGAGATGTTTCCAATTTGAATAGAAAATGTCATCCTTGTGGAAGAGTGAGATGAAAAGTCAGGGGATCGACAAAGATATTAGGATTCATCCTCTGGGGACGGGGGATAAATCCAGGAGTTGCAGAGATATTTCTCGAAAGGTCCACAGGACCCTTTCACAACTACAGATGTAGAAAAATGGGTTTTTATATTCTTAGGTTCTTTATTGGTACACACATTCAAACAAAGAACAGGCTACAGGAGAAGGTTACAGCTGCTGTTGTTGATTTTGTTTTGCCTACAAGTTTTGTTTAAAGGATTTACATCATGTCTTCTGAAGTAATAAAGTAAGCACATGATCAGTTATAAGAGCTGAACATTTACCAACATGTTGAACTCATCTCAAAACCTTGTGATCACCTAATTTTTTTTTTACTTTCAGTGTTTCAGAGCGCTGGTGGCCTGGAGGTTGGTGCATATGCCCCATGTTCAGAGGCTATAGTACTCGAAGCTGGCTGCCTGGGTTCGAGTCCGACCTGTGGCTCCTTTCCTGCATGTCATTTCCTACTCTCTCTCTCCAACCAATTTCTGGCTCTGTCCACTCTCCTTTCTCTGAATAAAGGACATGGAAGCCTTAAAATAAACCTTGCGAAAAAACATGGTCATGGCATATCAGTGTCTTCTATAACCTGCATGTCATGTAAACATCGGCCCCTGTGTAGTGTACCACAGCTGTTTAACACTCCAAACAGTTTAAGCCACTGCTTGTTAAAAGAAAATTCCATTAAATGCTCTCTGCTGTCATACACAGGCCCACGGCTATGAACAAGGTCAAATGAAGGAAGAGGATGATCAAAAGACATCATTTCCAGCTTCTACATTTCAGAGGGGAATGACTTGTTAACTGCACCCGGAAACATCAAAGCCATGGCTGAAGACGAGGCGGCCAGTTTTTCCCTGGATGGAGGCGATGATGCTGACCGGTCAGAACATGATCAGGGACAGAAACAACCTGTACCGGCTCACTCTAAAAATATCAAGAAGTAGAAGGAATGTTAAATATGAGAACGCAGAGACTCCCTGCAGTATTTCACCAAAAAAAACTTATATTATATTCTCTATACAAAGCTTGATTAGTGGTCATCTTTAACAAGGCTTGTTGATCTTTTGGTTTAAAAAAAAATTTCACTGATGATTTCTGGTGTTGTATATGGTTAGAGATTCTGTAGGTGGCGCTCTTTCCTTTGCTTTCAAAGGTATGAGTGCATTCACTGCTTATGTTGCCTGTTGTTAAAATTAACCGGCCAATCACAGACATACTGTTGGGGAGCCCTCAAGGGTCACGCCTCCATACCTCTAGGACAGCCTCCTCCATCAGCACCATCATGTTTCCTCAGACCTGATCAGCCCAGAGCAACAGGAGAGCCTTGTGATGCCATGATGGATATTAAGCCCCTGACAGAAATGGATGTTTAATTAAACATGATTTTTTGAAGTATTCAAAAAACAGTTTTTTTTTTTGTTTTTTTAGGCACTTGGGGGCAGTAAAATAATCTTTAACCACATCAGTGAGATAGCATCACTTTATAAAGTTGATATGGCTAATAAGCTGCCCTTATAGCTGCTAAATTCTTCAACAAGTTGACCAGCTGGTGCAAAGTTTCTGTCTGTTTGGTACAGAGTATGTAGTGCACTGTTGGTTTTATCAAAGTGATATTTCTTTTAAGACAGAGGTAAAGTCGTGGCTCAGAAAACGGAAGTAAAGATGCTGAAAAATAATCCATAGTTCAAAAGAGGAAGGCGAGTCAGTTAATAATCCTCCTTAAGTTTTGCTTTCATATTACACACACCTGGGTGTTGCTTGTTTCCCTTGTGTGCTTTTTTATTGTATTTTTTCCAAGTTTAATCTTTAGTGTTTCCTGTTTTATTTTTGCAGTTTTCGCCCCATGTTACTTTCTCCCTTTGTGTGTTTCCCTCCCTTTTTGATTGGCCTCACTGTCTTCACCTGTGTCTTGTTAGTCTCACCTGTGTTTGATTTCCTCCAGTATTTATTCTCTTTGTTTCTTCCCTTCTGTGTCAGTTGTCTTCCTACTCGTCACATTTGCCTAGTGTGCTTCTTCGTGGGTTTTTTTGGACTATTGGAAAGATTCTTGTGTTGGAGAGTTGATTACCAGAACTGTGAAAAGTAAGCTTTGTTTTTTGCCTTTTTGTTTAGTTTTTTTCTGTAATTTTTTTCATTTTTATTTTTTCAAATTCCATGACACTTGTCAGGTGAAACCTATGATCATGTTTTTCTAAATGTGTGCAGTGAGAACTGCCTCTTTGGAGGTTTAATTTCTTCTACAATTTAACTTTCTTCTCTTAAGCGTATTATGACTAACCAGTGTTTGACAAACATATATTTAAA